ATTTTGTTTGGTATCTTCTGTTACCTTATTTACCATAGCAGATTCATCAAAGGTAACATCCCTGCTGAATATTACTTTCTTTGTCATAGGACACCATAAGCGATATCCTTTGACTCCAGAAGTAATCCCCATAAAAATAGCCTTCTTTGCTCTTGGATCCAATTTTGACTGCCATCAATAGCAGCAAATGGTAAGAGATTAATGAAGTGACATGCATATGTAATTGCCTTAGCCCAAAATTCTTTGTCCAAGCCAGCATTGGACAACATACATCGTACCTTCTCCAGCAAGGTCTGGGTCATACGTTCTGTCACTCCATTCTGTTGTGGTGTATGTCTGACAGTGAAGTGTCGGACGATGCCATCATTTTCACAGACCTTATTGAAATGATCATTTTTGTATTCACCTCCATTGTCTGTGCGAATACACTTGATTCTCCTGGCTGTTTGATTCTCCACCATCATCTTCCATTTAAGAAAAATTCTCAACACTTCATCTTTGCTCTTCATTATATACACCAACACTTTTCGGGAAAAATCATCAACAAAGGTTACAAAATAGTGCTTCCCGCCCAATGAAGGTGTTTTGGAAGGACCCCAAATATCAGAGTGTACATAATCCAAAATGCCTTTAGTATTATGGATCGCTGTACCAAATTTAACCCTTGTCTGTTTCCCTTTGACACAATGCTCACAAAACTCCAAGTTGCAAGCCTTTACTCCTTTTAACAATCCTTGATCTGATAGAGTTTTCAAGGATTTTCCTCCATCATGTCCCAAGCGCATGTGCCATAGCCTGGTTGCTTCTGCCTCTTTTTCGTCACTGGATATCACTGTCGTTGTCCTAATAACTGTACTACCTCGATAATGGTACATGTTATTGTTTTTCCGATTGACCTTCATTACCACTAGTGCACCGGAACATACTCTCATCACTCCATTTTCTGCAATAATTTTGAACCCTTTTGATTCTAGGGCTCCCACAGAGATGAGATTCTTCTTCAAATCCGATACATATCGAACATCAATGTTCTGATCATTCCATCATTGTTCCTTAATCGTATTGAACCAATTCCATATGAGGTAAGAGGGTTGTTGTCCGCTGTGTGGATGACTCCATATTCTCCTTCTTGAAAATCCACGAACCAGTCCCTGTTGGGACACATATGATAGCTACAAGCCGAGTCCATCAACCATATGTCTGATGATGTTGATGACTCTGTTGTAACTAATGAGAAGTCTGAATCATCACAATCAGCTACATTTGAATCCATAATGGCCTTTCCATTGTTATGTTAGGCCTTATTCTTCAACTTCGGACAGTCTTTCCTCCAGTGCCCCTTTTCTCAACAAAAGGCACATTCATCTTTGCTGGGTCTAGATCTTGACTTGGATCTTCCCTTCCTTGTCCTCGTTTGATTTTGAGGACGACCCCTCACAAATAGTGCTTCTCCTTCTCCGCCCTTCTGTTTTTCTCGCTTTCTTTGTTCATAGCTGTACAAAGCCGAACAAACTTCTCTGAGAGAAACTTCGTCATTTCCATGGAGTAGAGTAGTTTCAAGGTGCTCGTACTCATCAGGAAGTGACGCCAACAACATCAAGGCCAAGTCACCATCATCATAAGTTGTATCCATATTTTGCAAATCTGTGACCAACTTATTGAAACTGGTGATATGTTCATTCATCGTGGTACCAGGAACATAGGTGAAGTGAAACAGTCTCTTCTTCATGTACAATTTATTTTGACTGTTTTTCTTCAAAAATTTATCCTCCAGTTTTTCCATAAATTTACTTGCAGAAGTTTCCTTTGTGTATGGATATTTCTGCTCTCTAGCAAGGTAGGATCGGATGGTACCTCAAGCAACACGATTGATAATTCTCCAATCTTCTTCTCGAATAACATATGGTCTTTATTCTTCAATGGCAAGATCTAGCCCTTGTTGAAAAAGGACATCTAGAACCTCGCCTTGGCACATCCCAAAATGTCCTGACCCGTCAAAAATTTCTACCGCAAATTTCGCATTTGACACAATTCTTGTCATAAGCAAAGATGTCAATGATGACGTATTGTTGACACTTGAAGTAGATTCTTCTTGTTTATTGTCTTCCATCTTTGACACATATTATTTAATAGCTGACGACACAAATCAAGATTATTTCCTTTCTGGTTTGGAAGATCAGACTAAGCTGCAACTACAGAGCATACTCAGACAGAACCTTGACTCAGTTACCAAGATAAATCTTTTCTGATGTGGAAGATCAGACTATGCTGCAATTAGATAGTACCTTGACTCTGATACCTTACCTCCAAAGGCAAGCAACAAAAAGAGAAGGTAAGTTTTTTTTTTAACCGAGAAATTTAACTAGTGCACAGTTCAATCTCGATGAATAATGGCTCTATCATCCTCTTTTTCTTCGCTTCAATACCAGAATTTTGCCTACAATAGGCTTCGAACTTGTGTTATACGTTCTTTTTATTTTCCTTTGATCCCCTTTATTGGAACCATTGCTCATTTGGTGACTCGAACTCACGATTCTTGGATTGTAAGTGAGGGGTGTTGAGCAACCCCCTCTTGTCTCGTGATATACGTTTGACTCACACACCAAACACTGCACTCTAGCATGGTAATTAATTAGTATATATGAAACTAATACAGCAACAACAACAACAACCCAGTGTAATCCCACAAGTGGGGTCTGGGGAGGGTAATATGTACGCAGACCTTACCTCTACCCCGAGGGGCAGAGAGGCTGTTTCCAGGAGACCCTCGGCTCGAAGAGGCAACAAGAGACACTATATTAGTACTATCAATATACTCATAATAAAACAACATAAAATATCATAAAATCCATAACATAACATAACATAAATACCATAAAAAACAAAGTAACAACAATATAAGAGATATAGGAGATATAGGAAATACGAGAAAGATGTAAGGTATTAATACACAGAAGATAAAGCCCATCATCAGTAGTTGATCAATAGCATTCTAAGACTAATCCCTAACTGGCTAGTCTCACTCTAGTGCGCTGTAAAAAAGACATTACAATTTCCCCTAACCTACAACCTTAATGCTCGATCTCCATAATTCTCTGTTTAGGGTCATGTCCTCAGTAACCCTAAGTCGCGCCATATCCTGTCTGATCACCTCTCCCCAATACTTCTTAGGTCTCCCTCTACCTCTCCTCGTACCCACCACCGCCAGTCGTTCACACCTTCTCACCGGTGCATCAGTGTTCCTCCTCTGAATGTGCCCGAACCATCTGAGTCTTGCTTCCCGCATCTTGTCCTCCATGGGGCCACCCCCACCTTCTCTCGAATATCTTCATTTCTAAATTGTTGTTGTTGTTGTTGTGTATGTACCAAATTTGGCGTTATCATTGTATCGCCAGAACACTGTACGTCTACTATCCTAAGTTTTGTCCTTATTCTGGTTAATATTAACAATCTGTAATTTTGAACTAATATCTAGATGATAATGCAGAATAAAGCAACATTCACTTTGGAATGAAGAAAGTAAAGATGCACTAAATTGAGCTTCTCAAAGGATAGTGAAGAAAAAAAATTCATATGTAATTCAAGAAACACCCCCGTATACCCACAATTACAATGGACTATACCCCAAAATTCACCAAAAGGGTACACAAAATTTCTCCTTATACACCCATAATAGTCAAAGATTTAGTTCTAACCCTCACTCAATTTCTCTTGAAGCCAACTTATAGGCTATTTCTCTTTTGTTTTTCCCACCTTTCTAGCCAAAATCTTCTTTATTAATGTACATTCTACTAGAAATATACCCCTTCCCTTCTGTAGACCGTCGAAACCATTTCCCATTTAGCCCATGCTTTCCCAAAACCCAAAAGATTGAAATAGGAGAAATACAAAACTTGCACGAAGGAAAGGTGTCGAGGATCACCTAGGCTGTGGTCGTGCAGGAAATGATCGCACTGGCCTTAGAGGAGGTCGAGGAGCAGGACTACCGAGGTACATTGTTTGTGATCGGCTAACCATGTCAACCATAGATGGTGTCTGGTAAGCCTGAATCAGGCTTGTACTATCAGTGGAATCACCACGAGCCGTTGCCCTCTGCCATGAATGTGAACTTAGTCCTGACAAAACATAAGCTCTACCAGATGTTTCATAAACACGACGATTTGCCATCCTCTCTTGCATTTCCTTCAGCTCAGCATCCAGTGCAAGACATAGTTTGTCTCTAGCTTGAGCAGACGCAGTTTCTGATAATTGCTTTCGACAATGCTCAAGAACAGATACTGCAGCTGCTAAATCACCATTTTCAGCTGCAGCTCTTGCTTCTGCCATTGCTTCTGCTGATTGAAGCCGATTACGCTGCTTGTCAACTTCCATTGACACAACAAGTTTTCCAATTGTGTCGGGCCTCTCAATTTTGACATCACTAGCATGATTCAAGGTTATTAAATCTTTCGATATAGGGTCTTTATATGTACACTTAACTTTTACAAGGGTCATAAAATCATTGCTTGACCTATCAGCAGGAATATCAATCATGACCAAGAAATCTCTTTCTTCATCTGCATATAAGTCGCCAACTTTAACGGTGCCTCTTCTGTTATCAGATGTTAAACTGGCATTGTAACTTCCAGATTTTATTGTACTGAGACGCAAAACAGGGTGAACGCATTCAACTTCCACATTCAACTCTTGGACCACCACGCTTAGAAGGCCGCCAATGCACTGAGCAAAAGCATCTTGAATAACACTCTCAGCTTCTATGAAGGAAAATGTTCCGCCTGAAGTTTCAGAGATTGAGTGCATTGAGACTGCATCGTGGTCAGCACCAAAACCAAATGCATGCACTGGAATATGGAGGCCTGAAGCTGCATTACGCTGCATGCAAACAGGAAGCAATGACTGATAATTAATCTGTGTAGTAGCTCCACTAGGACTGTTAATAGTATACGTGTCTTGTCCATCAGACAACAATATTATGCTGCTAACTGGATTCTTCCACTTGCGATCTGTCATGATTTTGGCACTCTTCTTTAGGGCCTCGGCAATGTTTGTCCCACCATTGGAACTGAGTGAATTCACAGCTTGTAGCGCTTCCTGCTTACCTGTATCACCCATCCTACAAAGAGGAAAGAGACGACGAGCAGTAGAAGAGAAGGCAATGACAGAAAGCCTGTCAGCAGGGCCAAGGTTTTGAATAACAAATCCCATTGCTCTCTTTAGCAAAGCAAGCTTGGTACCGGCCATGCTGCCACTAACATCAAGAACAGTGACAAGATCAACTGGAGCTCGGGAATTATGACCTGTAACTGGCATCTCACTCTGGTTTACCCCAGACTGTAGGAGGTCAATAGCGTGCGGGGCTTTGAGATGCACCAAAACAGCAAAATTTGTGTGAGAAGCTGATTTTGAAACTGCAGAAATCTCCGGCCATGTTTTCACTTCTATTGCATCCGCGGAATGATGATTAGCCACATCAGTTGATGAGCTTCTCTGGCTGCCGATGGGTTGGTGATCAACTACTTCATCATCATCAAAGACACCTGGTTCCACAACTTGAAAAAGTGTAGAGATGTTGCGATTGGTATCCAATCGAGCAGGTGGGAGCCGCCTTACAACTGTCATCCAGGCATCATCTTGAGGCCAATGTACATGTCCGTTCCGAGACCTTGGGTGTGACATATCAGTAAGAGGACTCTGAAAAGGTATCTCTTTCCATTTTGCTCTGCAAACTGGACAAATTTGGTTCCCATGCTTTACATTTGAAGTGATACAGTTGAAATGGAATGAATGTGAGCATTCTGCTGTAAAAATTGCATGACCTTGGCCTGGTTTCATGGACATCAAACATATTGCACAAGTACTCTGCAATATAGAAAATAAGTAAAGAATTAAAACCCCTGACTACTCTTTTAAAGAATAATCTAACATGAATATGTCGTAAAAACTTCAAAAAAATGGATGTCTGAAAGCCCTTCCAAAAGCACACATTTGTGCAATTCAATCATTAATCCAATTTCAGCCTACAAAAGAGGAGAGGGCAATGGCTGTAGTACCTAAGTACAAAATATAGCTTTCTGATGGAATCCCAAGTCAGAGATGGATGGGTTCCTTAGACTCTTTATATGTCTTGGGCAATCCTCACCCTTTGACTTAGATTTTGGGGTTGAGTTAGGCCCAATGTCTATTTATCACTTTCACATTCAAGTTTTACAATTCTAAGTTTTAAAGGGCAGCCCGACGCACAAAGCATTTCGCTTTCATGCACAGTCCGAGGAAGGGCAGCACCGCAAGAGGTGTAATGTAGGCAGCCTACCTTGATGCAAGCGCATCAATGGCTGATTCCACGGCTCGAACCTGTGAGCTATAGGTCATATGGAGACAACTTGACGGCTGCTCCAAGGCTCCCCTTCTACAACTTCAAATTTTGTTCATCAAATTTTGTCACTCATTTCTTTATACCATTGGATTAAATTACAAAAAGTCAACATCTTTGGATTTATTTCTGACAAGTAAACTCAATTTATCTGTAATTCCCGGAAGTCCAATATCTTCTAAATTCTAGATCATGTTTTGCACATATAGAGCCCCCAATAACAGTTGGTTCACCCTGAATTGTTGGATAATTGTGATTAGGGGCGGATCTAGCCCTTCAGTAATGGGTTAATCCGAACCCAATATTTTCTATGCATATCATAATATATACATGAAAATTTCACTAAAATTTGAACGAATATTAGATGTCAACACAATTTTAAAACACAATGAGTTTAGTATTAGGACCCTTAAAGGGAGACATCAAATTAAAATCATGAATCCACCTAAGATCACCATCTTTGTTTTAGTACTTATTAAGAGTAGTTTTCAGCTGACCTGCCAGCCACTTCCCACCAGTACAGGTAACAGACAGAAACTCATTTGTTTATAGTAACAACAAAGAACAAATAGTTCTCCACTTAAAAACATAGTAGGCCTATCTACAGAAGGCTACAGTTAAATTTCCACCAAAGAACAAGGATTACTGTCATTGTAAAGTGAGGTCCCAGTGGTCTGCATGTCAACCACATTATCAAGACTGCCGCATAAAAAGATGAAACTGATAATGCCTACGCAATTACTGTCACTATTAATGGCTATAAATAAGAATTATATTACATGTGCAGACTGGTCTACCATTCAATAAAGTCAATGTTTGAGTAGTCAAATATCAAAGCACAGTGGTGGACAATGGACATAATACTAAAGCAAGCAAAAACCAAATCAAACACTTAACTTTTGAAAAAAGTAGGCACAAACCTCTCAAGCCAGCTAAATACAGTGTTAAAATAATCAAGAACCCCACGTATCAAAAGAAGTAGAAATCATTGTTCAGCCATTAAAAAACCCAATCTTTTTTTTTTTCTCTGAAATTACTTTACTTTGTCGTACTTAACAGTGAAAGGGGAGCCTTGGCGTAACTGGTAAGTTGTTGTCATGACCAGGAGGTCACGGGTTCGAGCCGTAAAAATAACCTATTGCAAAAATGCAGGATAAGACTGCGTACAATAGACCTTTAGAACCCGACTCTTCCTCGAACTCCACGTATAACCAGAACTTAGTGTAGCGGGCTATGCTTGTTCTCCTTATAATAGTAGTAAGAAAGCTCTCAATCAAGGGCTGTACAGGTTTTTTCTTGGACTATGGCATGAAAAGGGGTGATAAAAATGGCCAAATGAGTAATGTCATGTGTGTAAAAGACTAAAAATAGTGCAGTTGCTGACCAGACAAAGCACTTTCTCCACCAAGAAGGGTAAGTAGAAAAAGGGACTACTCTTATTACACTGTTGTTTTTCTTTTTACAATGAAACCAGTGGACCACTTTGGGAGTCCTCTCCTTTCACAGATACCTATCTATCTATCTACTTTATCCCCACCCAACATGGAGAATCTGAAAACTACACATTAAAATACAAGGGTATCACCATCTTTCCACAAACACAAGTAGCTATATTTTCTATATAGCAATCAGAACCACTTGAAAGTTGAAAGTTAAGGTAAGGCTACAGGGTCCTCCACATCTATACCCCATGTCATAGAATTAACTTATTGACTTACCATCAATTAATACAAAAGCTAAAGTAAACCAAAACCACTTAATAATAATGTCATTAAAAAACAAATAAGAAACTTAATAGTTGAAAATTAGCTTGGAGAAAGAAAAAGATGGCATCTTCTCTTTGGTTTCAATTCACACTTGGTCATTGTTGTCAACTTTTAATACTCAAAAATATCATCTAAATACCTTTACACTCAAACATCAAGAAAAATATCATCAAACATCAAGAAAATAACTTAATAGATAGTTTCTCAAGAAAAACATTTTCAGCATAAAACATTTTTTCTCCCTATCAAAAACATTCAATTTTCACTTTTTTATTAAGATGGTGTTTGGACTAACTTGCGCACACTTGAATTATTTTATCTGAGTGCCTATTATCTCCTGCCAGCACAACACAGGTATCGACTAACTCTGACAACCAAGAATTACCTAGTGACACACATTCAATTTTGATTCTTGACAATCTAGTAATGGAGACTATTGTTAGATGAACAAGATACTAGCTTCAGAACCCACCTACCCCCCACCCCCACCCCCAAAAAAAAATTAAGTGAAGACATCAAATATAAACAAGAAATTATCTACCATGTGTAATTATCTTAACAAAGATTAATCCAAATAAACCAAACGAAAAAAAAAACATAAAGATTGAAACTTTTTTTTACCTTGGAAGATTTGGAGCTATGTTTAGGCAAGCGAAGACCAGAGGAAGAGGGAGTTGGGGTAGTGGGCATATCAACATGGCAATCAGAATTCCTATTTGGGGTCGTCGGAGACAACGAAACAGCATCGGAAAATCTCCCTCCGGACAGCGCCACCGCCGGCGAGTCTTCAAGTGTCTTTGGTACATAAAGACACATATTCAAACCCAATGCTAGCTTTGCTTTTCTCCATTTACTCCCCATTTTTTTTTTCCACTTCTTCTACGTAAAAAGAACACAAGAATTGCAGCAACTAGCTCGTTGTACACATATTACAAAAAAAGATTCAATATTTATTGAATTTAAATGAAGTAAATGAGAGCAGCATTCTTTGTAAAGAAGAGGGGAGCAGATCTCTAAGGTTGGCTTTGTTTAATTGTTTATCTTTGAACTACACGGTACCCAATAGCTTTTACATTTCGGACAAAACAGTTTTTATATGCAACTAATGTTACGTATACGCATTACTATGGACCATTACCCCCCACCCCCTCCTCACCTCTTTGATTTTTTTGCACATTCATTCCCTATGCAATTTTCTATTTTGGCGTTTTTTCTAAGGATTTTAATTTTTATAAAATTATATAATAAGTGATCTCTATCTCACACTAAGTAGAGATAAAGTTGCCTGCATCTACCTTTCACAAATACAACTTATGAAATCACATTGGGTATGTGATTGTTGTTGTACATAATCATATTACATTATCTATTATAACATAAAATATTTTATATTTTCAAAATTACAAATATCATTCTTTAAGGAGATTTCACTATATATATTCTTTTGGTGATATGATAATATTAAAAAATTATATTAACGTTGTATATGATAAAATCTCACCACTCAAGAATTATCTTTTCTATCATGTTGCTAAAAGAATCAATTACATGTAATTTTTTATTTGCAATATGTATAAGTTGGTAATATGTAGAAAAATGTTATTATCCTATTACAATTGCTTAAACTTCTGGAATAGTGTAAAAAGAATTGGACTATTACTATACAACTTAAATTATTAAATTTTTAAGACTTTTATCATATTAGGTTGCTTACAAGTTAACTTTATGATAAATATGAATTGATAAAGTCATCATATGCAACTTAAATCCTTTTTTTGAGTACGTAGAATATATTGGAATTTCACCAAGATGATGCGTTATTTCTATGCTCTCATGAATTTTAACTTTCTATCGTAATGAATTATTTTTTGGAGGACAAAAGAAAGGGTAAAATTGGAAATTAGGGAGGAGGAGACCTTGGGATTGGTGGTTGTAGGAGTGGGTCAAAGTTTTGTTTTGACCTTTGCCTTTGTTGGGAAGTTTTTGGACTTTGTAATATACTCATGGGTTTTTCAAACTCCACTACTTCATGTCCTCTCCTAAATTTTGTATTTGCTCTTAGTCTTAGGTTATAATTATTTTTTTATTTTTCACTCGGTACTTTATATTTGTTTTTATGCTCGATTAATTCGTATTTTTATCGCGTTAAGAATGGAGTGTTTCCTATCAGATTTTTTTATCATTTTCAAGTTTCAACTCGAGATCTCTAATTAAAGATGAAAAAGACGTACGAAGATATAATTTCTAAACGGGCATGGATTTCATTTCATTTGAAGAAGATGGAGTCAAAGTTGGTATTTAATGCTTGGCTACATTTCAAAATCAAAAGTGCATTTTCAGTTGCAAATCATAGTCTACGGGAAAACTAGTAATAATGGCAATAGGCAAAAATAATAAAGTGAGATGCAATAGTCCACTTTTTTTCTTTATTTTGGCAAATCACATAACTCACTTCTTATATTGTTGAGAATTGTCAAATTTTGAGTAAGCAAAATACGGCTTATCATAATTTAAGTAAATGAAAATGACAGTTTATTTGGCAGTTTAATGTTGATTTTGACTAGTAATAGAAAGAGACAATATCGTGTAATGACAAGAAGAGGTTTCTTTTTAGATTTCAAAATGTAGACGAATTCTTATTTGAGAAATTACGTACCAATTGATACAATTTCTTTAATTGGCTTAAGAAATGTTCAATATTTTCAAATCTTAGCAATTCGAAGAAAGAGAGAATTAAAAAGGGAACCAAAAACAATAGACTGGTAGCTTTGGTTTCACCTTCAATATTTGGTGCACCAAAAATGTCAATTAATGACACAAATTTACCAAGAAGTAGAAAAAGAGATAAAGTTTATGTTGGTTGGGACTTTAATAGATGCAAAAACGGAGATTGAACAACCTCCAACTCAACTTATAATGAGGAAAATCTATTTTGAAGCAATAGATATTGGTATTACTCAAGCCATATTAATAATTGGTAAAAATTTACCCGCGCTGGTGTTTACACCAAACCAATAGATATATAACATGTGTCTTGCATATGGACTTCAATCATTTAACCATGGTAAATTACATGTATTCTCATCTAATTAAATTAATTAACCATAGTGAGTTAATATAGTTTGGTGTAAACACCCGGTGTGAGTAAGTACTTACCCTAATAATTAGGTGAGATTTCATATATTAGTTGGTTCATAAAACTTTCCAACCTTAGATATTATAATATAATGTGATTTTTTTTTTCTTAGGTGATTAAGATCATGATGTCCCCTCTATCAGTGGCCGATATAGTCTTAGAGCTACGAATTCAACTGAACCCAATATTTTTTTTACAAGGAATATAAATATACATGTAAAAACATTAATTTTCTTTTAAAAAAGGTATTAAATTTTAAACCAAATTAAAATTCTGAATCTGTGTTTGCCCTCTATGTATAATGGCTAAATGCAATATAAGCAATAAGATGCATTTCATCCATACATTGTATCGAAATCACTGTTACTCATGCTTTCAAAGGCTAAACTTATCTTTATAAGTAGTAGATAATATCATAGACTGATGACCAATTTGGATTTTTTTTGAACCATTGACTTCTATTATGTTGCGTTTAGTGCGAAAACGATAAGAGATAAAATCCTAATTTTTCTTTTTGTCCCTTCTTATTTATTACTCAAATCAAAAACAAATAAGCTGGTCAAACTGCTTATAAGCACTTTTTTATTTATCTATGCGTTTGATAAATACTCAAAATATTTATAAGTCAAGTTGTTTATAAGCTAAAATCAGTCATAAATCATAAGTTGGTGATCCCCAACTTATGGTTTTAGCTTTTAATCACTTTTCATTTGACCAACACTTTTACCGGCTTATCCTTAATAATATTTTCTAATTCACAAACTACTCCCAAAATAAATTTTCTGACTTTCTCTTCATTTCATATCCGTTGTTAATTCTTTTCTTTACAAAGAATTGCTTTTATCTTATAATCTCTTGGAAACAAAATCAAGGGTATTTTAGTTATTTTAACAAAAGAATAGCTTATCAATATTTTTTTTTGAAACATATTAACTACTTATTATTAATTTTACCACTTCTATCCAAACATGTAAATGCTTATTTTAAAAATCAGTTCAGCACTTAATCAGCTATTTAGATCAACTAATCCAAATGGGCTCAAACTCCTATTCCATCGAACCAGACGTAGAAACAACCGTACAAGCTAAAGTTTGGGTAGCTTAATTCGCTAATTTTCTAACTAATGAAACGGACATTAATCGAAAATCTTTCATTAGTGTTTTACAATCATATACAAGTGAATCAAAATCATATCAAAACTAGCATCTATGTTACATTTAATTTAATTTCATTCTCATTCGTTTTTTGCCTAAGTTTGATTTGTGAGACACGAGTGATTACGAAACATCTGATTCTTTCCGTTTTTGTTAAATTGTTACGTGCTATTATCTCAAAATTTCATGATGATTTGAACTGTTAAATATATAGGTGCTACTTTAGCTGAACAAATAAATTTACTAACGACACAAGCAACAGGCAGAGAAAGGCAATATAATTGCTGTAAAAAACAAAACCAAACCTGTCACTGTAGCTACTGCGGCTATTACCCCAAAGAAGGAATAGCAAACGGGCCCCAGGAAGGGGCGGATATGAACAAGTCGAAAATGGATAAATTATTCGACCTGACCCATATTTTATACGGACTTAAACCAAATTAACCGGCGGATAATATGAATATCTATATTTTCCATGACTTCTTGACTATGATTACTTTTGGAAGAATTCATAATCTCCTAAACTTGAAGAACCCTTAAATCCATTAGTTATCCACTAGTTATCCATTTTCTAAGTGAATAATGTAGTTCTCATTTATATTTTTGACCTATTTTTAAAAAAATTCATTATCCAACCCATTTTTAATAAATAATATGGATGAATAACTATTTTCTTTTAACTATTTTATCGTTTTGAAGTATTGGCACTTTCAATGATGTAAACTCCAAACTACTACTATTATTCAAGTAGCAAATTATTTAAGGTAAATAGGAAAGGTTAAATAAATAAAGAGCTATGTCCACCATTAATTTTGTCCTTATATCCTATTCTTTTCCCTTTATCATCTTATCTAAGGTCAATTTGAAGTTTATGTTGAAAATGACTTAAGAGTTAAGACATTATTATTGGTCTGAGAGATAAATGGTGTCCTTTTCAGTTATGTAATTTCAATTCTATAATAAGAGGAAGGCATAGTTACTTCCACTGTCTTAAGGGTAAGGCAACAAAAACATCATTGAAAATGTTTGTTTGGCAGTAGCAGTGGCTAGTAATGATTTAGAAGCATTGAGAAAATTGACTAATTTATTTAGTTAAACGGATTATCTTAAAGTCACTTTCAGAAATACCTCAGCCAATTAATCTTTCTCTGGATAATACTATGTACTAAGCAATATGCCAATATATACTATCTAGTTTGACCTCTAATTGCTAATTAAAAAGCTTTCTTATTGTGCATGATAGCTGGTCATACATCATTTGATGGAAATTATTTTTATATATGGAATACAATTCACTTTTATTTTCATCCCCTCAATTTTATGTGTGTCGAGACTAGGAGTAGGCGAGATCTATACATGCGCGCGCATATATATATATATGGGAATAAATCTACAGCGTTGATTAAATATATATCTTTCAATATTTTCACAATTTAAGCTAATGTTTGAACATAAATTTGGGTGAAATTTACAAAATTAATTTTTGAAGTAGTGTTGTAAAATAATTTTAAGAAGTTAAAGTTATGTTTGGACATACATTTTATTTGAAAAAAAATAAAATTTTATGGGTGGAAGAAAAAGTTTCACGCAAAAATTGTCCCAAATCAATTTTTGGAAACTTGAAAACAATTAAAAAAAAATTCAAAATTGATGAAATTCCTTGAACAAACAGTGTTTTCAATTTGTTTAAAAAAAATAAGAGCCAAAATTTATACGCAGTTTGCTTACTATTACAATGTAACTTTTATTAGTAAAGCACTATTCAAATTGTGACTCAAAAAGGG